GATTGAAAAGATTTGGGATCTGCAGAATATTGGCTTCCCATCGATGTTTAGACTCAACCATCGCTGGTAAGCCAATTTTTCTTCAGTTTTGAAGTCAACGGTCACCTACCCATCGATGGGTACAAGCTTCCCATCGCTGGGTGGGAGGTTGACTTCCAAACAAGGAAAGAATCAACCTTTAATGACCACCAACGGTCATGCCTTCCCATCGATGGTAAACCCTTACCATCGCTGGGTTCCCATCGATGGGATAGGTTTCCCATCGCTGGGCAAGGTCGTTCTGCCTTGTGTTAATATTGCACCAAGGCTTTAACTACGATGGGTAGAACTCCCCATCGCTGTTTGGCATGGTTCTGGAAGTAGGTTTGGCTTAGGGACCGCTTACCCATCGATGGGAAGATCTTCCCATCGCTGGGTGGGTGGTTAGTCAAGAACCCATGATTTTTGCCTTAACCACGGCCTAGCCAACCGATGCGAAACCCGACCGAAAAATTCAAAGTTCTCCAAAATAAAAACCAAGTGTTTAAAACACTTATTTGATGTATTTGGCTAAGAAATCAAGTAAGACACTTCAAAAACCACGTCATTTGAGTAAAAACCACGGCTAGCCAAGATTATGCTGTTTTGAATGATTTTTGTCAAACGACCAAAAGCGAAAGATGGTTTTCAAGGTGTTTTTGTTGGAGAACTGTTTAAACATGCCAAAGAATGAAAACCAATCATAAAAAGTTGAAAACCACTTGGTTGGTTCGGACGCCAAAAACCAACGCCGAAAACCGAATGCCGAACGCCGGTTTCTGAAACCCGAACGCCGGATGGCTTGGTTTTTGGTTTGGGCGAACATGAAGTGTTTTTAATGTTTTAAACATGTTTGAAAAACATTTTTATGATTTAAGAAATACAATGAAGGATTTTAGCCTAAAGAGCCAAGGTGTAAAGATTGGGTCGGTCTTGATCACAATGAAGACCGACTGAACGACACTAAGACTAAGGTCTTCGTTCTTGGTCTTCTTTTAGCTATTGTTCTTGTCTTCCTTCTTCGCCTTGTATATTCAATGTTTGACTTGATCACGGCGGTTTGGCATTATCAAAACCTGTTACAAAAACGAACACGGCTTTAGTACGAAAACGTGACAAGCCCGTGTTTCAACAATTTCCCCCTTTTTGATAATGGCAAACGAGATGAGGTTATGCATATGAGGAAGACTTAGAGACTTAAAAAATGTTCCCCCTTAATAGTTGCCATTTTATTTTAAAAAACAATTCCCCCTCAATTTATGCATAACCTTGATATCTTCCCCCTTTTGACATTAACAAAAAGAATTAAAAGTAAACTTTAGATTTTAAAAGTGAACTTTTATTTCTTTAAAAAAGGAGATGCGGAATACAACGGAATGGAAATAAAAAAGACAATCATAGTAAGGAAGGAAAAGAAAGAAGAGTCTAGGCAGCGGCGTCCTCGTCCTCGGCGTCATCGTCTTCTTCGTCGTCCTCGATGTCCATGGCATCCCCGTCGACCGCGTCGTCAAAGTCGGCCTCGTCAGGGGAGGAGGACGGAGCATAGGAGTCATCTTCCTCGTCCTCGCCTTCATAGTTTTGGCCGAGGAAGGTGCTGTCAAAGGGCGGCGGGACGTAGTTGATGCCGCGGAAGTACGCCGTCAAGTCGTGGTTTTGGCGTTGCAGCGTCGAGTCCATCCTCTCCAAGTACTGCCCCATGCCATCCACTGTGAGGGTTAGCCGATTCAGAGTGTCAGCTATTGACTGCAATGAGGCCCGAGCGGGAGCAGGAGCGGGGGCAAGCGCAGTGGCACGGGCACGACTCGTTCCGGCGCCGTTACGGTTTCCGGACTTCTTCCTGAAGGTGTTGTCGGCGATGACCCAGAGCTTCGTCATCTTCGTGTCTGGCCCGGCGATGTGGATGTCGGCGGAGACGATGAGGTCCATGACGAGGAAGGCGTAGGGCAAGCTCCGCTCGGAGGTGATGGAGGCACAATCAGCCATGTGAATCATGACGTATTTTGCCCAATTGATGGAGGCGCCGTGCATGATCGCATGGATTGCCCTCAAGTCGTCGTTGAAGAGCGAGGTGTGGCTGCCATCCCGGGGGTGGAGGATCCGGGTGAGGATGTAGAGGAGGAGGCGCTTCTCCGGTGGGGCCGAGTGAATCGTCGGTGCGCCGCTGTGACGGACGAGGTTGGTGATTCCCAGCTCTCGGATGACCACCGCCTCGTTGTTGAGGATCCAATCATCGCCGCCATATGATGCGATGTCGTCACCGCGGGTGGGCAGCCCTGCGACCCGAGCAAAAGTAGCCAAATCAATCTCCAAGTCGTAGAGATTGATGCTACTGCGGATGGTGTCCCCGTCCCGACGGAGATTTGAGTAGAAGGCCGGACATAGGCGGGATTGAAGGAGGTGCGGCTCTTGGAAACGAAGGGCCACAAACCCGACTCCTTGAGCTGATTGTCGAGGTCGTGGTACCCTTTCTCTTGGGGAAATAGTTCCGGGAGCACTCAGGGCGGACAGATCGGCCGCTTGGCGAAGTGCGTGAGGAAGCGGGTTAGTTCTTCCTCCGACCCGAACTCGAGGAAAGAGCCGTCCAGGTAGGGAAACAGCGGGGGCGCTGAGGTCGTCGCTTCGGCGTTGCCCTTCTTCTTGGAGGCCTTCGACTTGGATTTTCCTCCGGCCATGATTGAAGCGCTTCTTACGAAAGATTGATGAAATTGGCTAAAGGAATGAAAAAGAGGTGTTAATTGTGTGTTAAGAATGTAAGGGATGATGTGAATATATAGAGAGAGGAAGATAAAACCGTGTGAATTCAAAAAATATGGCTGTTGGGCATGAAATTCGGTGCCCAACGGCCATAATTTTTGAATTTCAACTGCCTTCCCATCGATGGTAAGGAAGTTCCCATCGATGGGAGGGTCGCTACTGGAAAGCGAGAAGAAAAACGAGGCTGCCTTCCCATCGATGGTCAAGCTCACCCATCGATGGGAAGAAAGTTCCCATCGATGGGATGGGAGGTTCTGAATTTTTTTTTTTTGATAAGTCCTTCACCCAGCGATGGGATGAAATACCCATCGATGGGTTAGGGTGTTCGGGAAATCCGTTAAGTATTTTTTTAAGAAATAGAGTCAATTACCCATCGATGGGAAGAGGGGTTCTGAAAAAAATAACACTTCCCTCCCAGCGATGGTACAATCCACCCATCGCTGGTTCCCCCTGATTTCCAGAATTCTTCACTTCGAACCGTCCCTGCAAAAAAGAGTTAGAAAACCCTCCGACGCTCAAGTTAGTAAACGTTCCAGTAACAGTAAAAGAATGATAAAATGCACAAATTAGATCATCGTGGAGTCAAGGATTCCGAGTTCACTACGAATGCGGAAGAACGACTCTTTCTCTAAAGGTTTTGTGAAAATGTCGGCTAATTGGTTGTGTGTTTCAACAAACTCAATTTCGACATCACCTTTGAGAACATGATCTCTAATGAAATGGTGCCTAATGTCAATGTGT